TCTTATTTTCCAATAAGACAAATAGTCTTATTTGTCACTGTTGCATGCATATAGTAGTTACAAGAAAGGTATATATGAAAGATCACTGAAATACAAACATTAGTAATAGTATTTTTCACTCATCCTTTAATATCAGCTGTAATCCATGACTAAGCATTCTGATATTTTTGGAGTTGGTTTATAGCCTAAAGAAAGATTTGTAGCTCTCATTAATGGTTTTCCTAATTCCCTTTAGCCATATCCTCATATCCTCCCAGATTCTTTTTCCTTTTTTAAATGCAGAAACTAGTTTGCTTTTAATATAATATTTTAAATCTGTCAGGACTAAAAACAAACAAACAAACAAAAAAAAACAAAACAAAAAACAAAAACAAAAAAACAAAAAACCCAATATTTTTTGCAGTTCTTAAAAATGAGGACACTTACCCTTGCTAATTCCAGGTAATGTTGCAAAGACTGGCTAACAACCCGGGTATTTTCAAGAGTAATGGCAGGCCCTGAGAAGTACTTTTCAACAACTTTGTTCTGAAAGCAGAATGAACATTGGCAAACACTTCTGTTTTTTTCTCAATAAATAAATAAATTAATCAATCAAAATCCCCACACTACTGTCTACCTCCTGCTGTAACACTTACATCATCTTCAGCAAAGACAGAGAGACTAAAGAAGGCTCCGAGATAGGAAAGTCTTTGCAGCTCTCTTCCTGCACCTGTGCTTAAAGATTTAGGCAACCACAAGGGCAAAGATACAACCTAGAAAATTAGAGAAATAGCAAGTTAATGCCTTACACTGATGAATTGTAAGCAAAGTGCACTGTTACCTTTCAGGTGCCCTGTTGCACAGGGCAACAGGCCCTCGAATCTACAATATCCGGTCATGCAGATAACTAAATGGAAAGACCTCCTCAGTACTTCAGAAATCTAAGTATGTTTGCTCTAATTTTTCTTTATCCCCTAAAATCTGAGGGAAAAGGATTCCTTTTACCACAGTTAACTTTAAGCTATTATTTAGCATGAGACATCACAGTAACCCCCTTTAGAGTTCTGAACACCATTAATGTGAATCAGGAGATGTCAACCAACAAAATAAGTTACATGGTTCTTTTAATCAAAAGAAATATATATATATACACACACACATATGTATGTATACACATACACACACTTACCAGACTGCACATGGGATGTGTTTTCCCAAACTTGATTTCACAAAGTTCACACAATGCCTGTAAGGAAATCCCAAGGAAAGTTATTTTCGTGTGCATTTCCCGAATAACCTGTCTGCTAATAACAAGATTAACATGGTAAATTGGCGAAAGAGCTAACCCTTCTCCCTTTTCTGTGAATATTTTTTTCCACCTTCTACGGTGGTAGAGAGATGCAGAAAGAGTTAGAGCATACTCTGCTCCCCTTTCAGTTTCTACTTCTGTTCCCAGTTGTCTCAGGAAGGCTAATATGTCTCACAGGATTATAACTATTGCACTTAGTTCAAAAGTTAGGCACACAGATTATTTGCTTGATCAGAATATAACGATGTCTTTGCTGGACTCCTGAACTGCCACACGAATGTTAGCAACAATAATAAATGGAGTAATTGTACTATACATACATCAAGGCCTTTGTCTTTTGAATCAGCGTAGAAAAATATCAGAATAAAAGAATAAAACACAGAAGCCAGAAACAAAGAATCCTATCCACATCTCTAACTCCCTTTCAGATGCAGTGCGTCTGTGGGATGTTTACAACCTGAAAATTATTCTGAAAATCCAAAAATACTGAAGGCTTTCATGCAGTTCACTTCTCTAGTGCTCTATATTCTCATACTTCAATTGCGCTAGAGCAAGTAACTACTCTTTCATCCTTTTGGTGCACATTGTCCTGCCTTAGGATGCTGTAAATGATGCTGCGCTTTGAAACAGCTCTCTACACAGAGTCTGCTGCACATTCAGTTTGCAACATTATTGGCCTCACAGATTCTAGTGGGTTTTTCCGTGGTCTTTTACATATTTCATGCGACACAAAGCTTACAACACATGGTTTAACTATTAGCCCATTAAACAAAGAAGCCCCAAAATGCTGCAGCACATTATCTTGGAAAGAATCTGCCCAAGTTATGAGGAATCAAAGAAAGCTTACAGAAATGAACTGTCCTTACCATAAGGGGGTACTTAAAGTTGTCACTATCCAGAGAGCACTCTTTGGAAGCCAGAGCCAGGCCTTGTAAGATAGGGATAAAGATCTGTAGAAACAGCAGTAGATTACCTTCTTCAAGAAAAGAAAGCCATCAAACAAGTGACATCTCTGCTTTACACAGCATGAAATATCTGTTCATTCTTCAAATACGGCAGATTACACACAAGAAAAACAAAGACTTTCTCCCTGTCAAATGGCATCAGTCATTTCAGATGACATTTCAATGCCTGAATGCTTAAGAGTACCAAAGCTTAAAATCAGCTTGCAGCCTTTTTTTTTTTTCTCCTTAAAGCTATTAAATTAGATCCATAAAATGGCCTTTGTTGTTATTGTTGCATGCTAGGAGAGCTTAATCTTCTCTATACTCAGACACGGTATAAATAATCTACTAACTTGACACCTGGGCATAAGGTCTTACTTGTAAAAACTATCCATCTTCAAAAGTCCGATAGCCCAGAAGGGTAATGATCAATTTGCCCATGCACTTGGGAAAATAATATAGTTTCAATTTTTGTATCACCCAAATTTCTCAGTCACCTTCTGTAAAATTTAATGGACTAGGATTTTTAAAATACACTTAGCATCTTAGATGTATACCATTCAAGTTACAGGAACACAAAATATGTCAAGAAAGGAAAACGAATGCTTAAGTATGATTATAGAAAATTGCTATCTTACACAAAGATTTTTAGATTATTTTGTATACAACACACGCAAGGATGTTAAATGAAAGGAAAATCCTGTAACAGGCCACTATGATATGCTGAAGTACTCTGTACCATACCTCAACTTTACATAACAAGATGTATCACTCATTAGCATACGCATTTTTTATTACGTGCTAGTTTAATTATTAAAGCCAGAGAATTTCTCTAAGTAATTTAAAAATGGCCAAAAACCCTAACTTCAATTCCTTTACCGTTTGCTGCTCCTTGAAACAAAAGGTTTAGAACTGTGATGTGCAAAATAAAGCTTTGGAAATCCCTTGGATTTGGCAAATAGGGGTTTTGTTGACCTGTTCTGTTTTTAAAGGTATGCCTTACCTGTTTGAACACCTCTTCATCCTGATAAGTTGTTCTCACCAGTTCCTGGATGAAGCCAAATGGAAGGTTCCTACACAGCATATATGGTACCAGCAGAGACTGCTGCTGCAGGGACCTTTATTTGTATAAAGAAATACAAAACCAGAGGTTTTTTTAATAGGATAATGTCAGATGAATCACATGCAATGACGTGTCAGAAAGCAGAGTATCAAGATGTAGACACCTACTCCTTTCAGGAGTAACTAACCTTGTTTTCTCAAGTTACTTGTGCAAAGATTACTGTGAAACACATGCTGCTGCCAACACCACACTTTAGTTTAATGAGCCTGGAAGAAAATAACTGCTTCTGAGCAGTAAACGGTCTTCCCCTTCTATTCCTCTCTAATGAAAAGACCCTTTATTAAACTAGTGAAGCAACAACATCAGGTCTGTTCCACTGATCTCAATCTGTTTCTCTCTCCAGTATTAAGGGTTTAATGTATTTTCTAAATTAATACAGCCATATCTTTTAACTGCTTCCTGAGAATTTGTAAAGATATTTTTACATTTTTTCTTATTATATATACACACAACTTTTCGCAATACCAGGATTGGTTCAAGTAAAGACATTACTAATCCCATGGCACAGTGGAATGCTGATATAGCTTTAAAGACTACAAAACTATTTGCATGGATACAGGCACAGAATTATGCAGATTTTACAAAAAGTCGCATACACTTTCAAAATCTTTATATTGTTCCCGCTAAATAAGCTGATAGTTAAACAACTATTTTCTTTTTAGTCACCAGAAGTCTCTCATCAGTTATTTAGCGTAGAATGTCTACAAATTTACACTGCTAAAAGCTTAGATCACCCATCAATACTGATCAACGGAACCTGGATGATTTGATCTACAAAAGAGAGCAATTAAACTGCTTTCCACCACTATATCAGTGGGACCAACAACTCCAACAATAAACCCATCCACCAGCACAGCTGGACCCACAGGCAAAAGTCCACAGCTAGTGAGATAAGTGTTTAGAGCAGGATACATTTACATTTGCTCATCTAACTGTTAGGAAAAGAAAAAAATCCCAGAGCAGAACTGTCCACCACAATTCATATCGGCTCCATTTACCTTGGTTGTGTTAAGGATCCCTGGAGCACCAACGCGGCATGGGAAATGCACTGGGATCGGATGTTGCTCAGTAGCTGACTAACTGTTGGCTGGCTACACATCTGAAAAAATGAAGTTATTTTAAGACAAACTAAAAGTATTTAGAGACAGAACAGACAGGAAATATCATATACCTCTTTGTTCATGTAATACGAATGCAATATGCAGACTAAGCACGCTTCCAGCCTCAGATTTTATAGACAGTTTCCCCCCGCATCCCTCTCCCAGGACAAGAAACTAATAGCAACATACAGAGGGTGGCAGGGAGTTGGCCTGACATTTTTTTTTTGTGTGTGGAATAAACTCAAGATAAAACGTCAAAGATCCAAAGTGAAGGACAGCTCCTAAAACACAGCTTATATTACAGATGTAAAACATATACAAGATGCCAAAGTGACGAATTAATAAATGCTAAAAGGAAAGTTTATAAATTTACAGATTTATTTATACAATAAAGCCACAAGGAAATAACTCCATTTTTACCAACTTTCCCCTGTGCACCAGAAGAGCTAGAGGATGGGCTCTGACTGGACTGATAGCACTTTGCTCTTCCCAAACCTACCTTTGGTGCTTTTCTCTCCTCTATTCCAACTCTGTCAAAACACTCAATGAGGTAGTTCAGCATCTCTGTCTCCTTACAAGTTTCAATGGTGAAGTGGTCACTGCAGGTATCGGAAACACTTGAGCTGCCAGAGCCTCCCACACTTCAGAAGACACACACAGAAAAAAGAAAAGGAGCATAAGGCACAGCTCTCACTCTTGCACAGTCTCATAATTCATGAGCCCTTGACTTTCTCTGTCAGTTTTCTGAAGATCCTTCCCATATCACATACAGGGTCTTCTCAGCAGGTCCGCTCGTCCTCTGACCTACAGAGAGCTCCCCACTTAACCGTTTGCCCAGCTCTGAAAATCCAGGTGTGCTGTAATAAGACTGAAGTATCTTATTAAACAAATAAATATCTGAGAGATGGCTGCAAGATCCAGGAATATAGCGGGAATCAAAATGAGATTTTCAGGGCAATATTTAATAAGAACAGCCTCCAATTAGCACCAGACTTGAGGCCAACACTGATATAACTCCCAGGAAGGACTTTGCCAAACAACCACGCAGCGACGCTACCTCTGCACAGCTTCTGCACCAAGGGAGGGTAACATCCCAAAGAGCTACAAATGTCACCAGCTCCGTTAATGCCATCCGGCCCACGGAAGGCAAATCCTCTCCCTGCAAAGGGACCTTTGCTTACAGATAGACAAGGGCTAGAGATAACCAGATTGTATACTCTAAAGAAGGGAGAACGAATGAAACAGGAGACATCTAAGCAGCATCAGGGCAGCTGTTCGTTTTAGCACTTTCATACTAAGGATTGTTTAACTTCAACTCAGCTTAACTCACGGTGAAACATCACATCTCATTAAGTAGTATTGCTTCAGGGAAAAACAGAAAGCCCCAATTTTGTAAACACAAAAACTAAGCCCACAAAGACAAAAACATGCCCAAGACAAGAAAAAAATTAAATTGAAAAAGTGGGAACAGACCCAAGCTCTCTCAGTCCCAGACTTGTTATCCCAACAGAATTCCTCTCTATATAACAGCTTGGCAGGGCTAACTACAATTGAAAACCTCATTTTACAGAAGGGGATTAACAGAAGATATTTGCCTTATGCAAAAAATATAAAATGTTCAAACAAATAGCAATTACATGGATGATCCACAGCTATTCCTCACTGAATGAAATCAGTGTACAGACTGAATTCAAATAAAAGCTAATTAAAAGGCCCAAAATTTAAATTGAAAAATAAGAATATTTGTTTCCTTAGATGGACCTTTTTATTTTTTTTTTAATTCTTACAAAACTGTCATAGCTGGAATTATTTAAAACTGTAAAATAATTTACAATTTAATATCTAGCTACACGAGTCTATTATTGTACAGTCCAACCAATAAATCAGAGATCATTACTTTTTAAGTATATGCGGGCAAAGTGCATCAAGAAATATACCAGCTTCAGCACAGAATTTTTTTAAGCTATTGAACCAAAATTAAGCCATGCCAAATTTAGCTCTACTAAAACAGTTCTGCTAAAACCATATATACATTTTCTGCTCGATAGTTTCTCTTTCTGACCTCCTGGCTTCTCACCTTCAGCTTAAAAATTATCCTTGAGAATATAAATTTAGATTAATAACTATTAATTCTCAATTTAGTCACTCAAAATGGTTTCACTGCAGCAATAACTGAAATTATTCCAATACAAAACTGATATATCCTCCTCAAATGCCTTTGGTGCCATGGTATTTTCAGAATGTAAGTTGTTGTATAATTATACAGCTACTGCGCTCATAATTTAAACTATAACCTTACTGCTGTCTGCAGCATGCCAGGACATAACATGAGCCAAGATACCAGAGGCAAAAATGCCAAGAAATCCTGGGCACTGCAGAATATGGAACCCAGTCCGATATTTGGCTTAAACCATCAGCAATATAAATACCAGATTTGAGCAAAACAGTGGAAAAAAATAACCCCAAATTCCATGTGCACAGCCCCCTCAACCCGTGAGTTCTGGGGAGATGAACTGGTGACATTAGGATGTAATGGAAAACAGGAGATGCTACTGGAATGTTTTCCGGTTTTCAGTCCAATTTTGGCAGCAACACCCCAAAATAACCAAAAACCACGGGTACGATGTCAGAGAGGAGAGCTGGGGATGGAGGAGAGAAGATACATCTTTTAGGACATTCATTCCCTGACACTCAGGCACTGAGATTTCCACTCACTTTTGCTTCAACTAAAACACTTCAGAGGGGATTAAAAGCCGACAGGAATCCCTTTGCTCACAGTGGTTCATCACGGTCGCTGCCTTGGAAGCCCTGACCTTCCTTCCCTTAGCCAGGCGGAAGCTGTAACTGGTTCAAGTGATTCAAACAGAGGTGCCAGGCTCAGACCATTGCAGGATTATCATCAGGTTTGGCTATTTTGCACAGCTCTCTGGCCAGCCTCCAGCACTGACCAATATCCGTTCTCATTTTGTTTTCACGTGCCTTAATGCCATAGAAATGAAGGGCTTCTGTCATAGGATTCCAAGGTCTTTGTCTTACAGCAAATTATTCCCCCCTCTTCCTCCATTCTTGTCCGTTCCAAATACATCAGCCTCTACTATCCCGTGTCAAAGCACCCATACTAATCCCTGGGAATTTAAACTGTCAGGTACATTTTCCTCACAGGTTACTGGAAAGAGCCTCAGCTGCCATACACTGCTCGAACGCCCATGAACCTGCAACAAAAGCACACTACTTGCACCAGTTGAGTATTTGCCACTGGATCTTTTTCTATATGTTAACCACCAACATCATATTCCAGTTTTTCATAGAAAAAAATGCACATGATGTACCATTGGTATTAAAATTACAGCTGTGTGTGAATAACATTCCTTCTACTCATACAGTCAATGAATATATAGCCAGCTCCATTGAAACATCCACTTGAGAAATAGTGCTCATTACACCTGAAAGGCAGCATGATTAGTGCTTCCTTTACCTTAGTCATCTCTTTAAAAAGAGCTGACTAACTAGGTTCATTACACGTGTTTACACAGCATCTGAAAAAACATTCAAGTCATCTCCTTGGCTTTGCTCATTTCTCAAGTTACTTTGAAAAACAGATTGTTAGTTCCTAAGCACTAACATGCAGGTTACATTTTTTTCTCCAATACCTGGACCCAAACTGGACACAAGAAAAATCATCATCTTCATTTTCTTCATCACTACTGTCCTCAGACACATCAGAAACGGCAAGGAAGAGGAGGGAGAAAGGGTTGTCGTATATACTACCACAACAAAAATGGAAAAGGCCATCAGAGATTCTTAAGCCAAAAGTACACTATAGCTTTTCTTTACAAACCTGCCAAAGAAAACAACTTCTTAAAGCATGCAGACAAGGGGTAACTATGTTAGAAAAACCAAGACTAGACTAACATGCTCTGTGATGCCACTCCAAGTTATTCATGTATCAAAAACACCACACACTCAAACCAAAAATTTCACAGTAATTTTTGAGACAAAATAAATTTATGGCTTAGGTGGAAATGTTTACACCTAATTGCATAATAAATATTACAGGTTCAGCTACTGAACTGTAATGCAGTGGTACCAAAGCACCTCCTGTTAGCCTCTCCCTCCTGCAGGGAATGAGTTTCTAAGAGCAGCCAACAGACAGAAAATGCAGCTGTACTTGGCTTAGCATACTAAAACAGCCTAATCTGTAATTTAAATCTGTGCATTACGTTGTCCATTCTATCACAGTCCACCAAGTAACAGCTTTCAACCTCAACTAAAGCCTGAGTGAGAAAATCAACTGCAAAGCAGGAGGCCTGTCTGATATACCATCCAGCAGTGGCAATCAAGCAGAAAGCTAATAGTTTACCTGGAATGGATGCAAAGAAAAGAGGCAAAATGGAAAAAAAAAAGATATTGATATTTTTAAGATAATGACATTCCACCTCAAATGCTAGCAGAGGTAGTTTTAACATTTTGGCAGACAGGTCTTGTTAGCAAGTCAATAAATAAACACAAGCACAAACCAAAACACAGAAATCAGCTCAGGGTAAGTAAGGTAAGCTCAGCACAAACAGAAGCGCTTCCAAACTGCATGATTATGCCGCACCCTCACTGCACACATTAAACACTCTTTTGCTCTTGTGAAATACCTAGAAGGAATCCTGTTCAGTAACGAACGCCTGCGCAAGGTACTGGGTGAAGCAGTAAACAAAGGTGGACCCATTGCAGTGGGTCTCTGCCTGGACGTGATGACTGGCAAGCCCTGGGGGCTAGTAGCCATGACTGGAGGGCTTGGTGAACTAGACGGGATGGAAATATTCAAGGAACGCGGGATGGAAGAAGCAGAAAAGCCTCCAGAATGGGCAACAGTGTATGGCCGGTACCTCGGAGAGGAGGGCTGCGTCGCAGAAGGGCTTGCTGCTGTGAGGTGAGAGCTGACAGAAATGGAAGGCACTGATGTGGAGGCAACTGAACTGGCTGGTGGGGTAAGAGATGAACCAGTCATTGGTACATAGCTTGTGAAACTGATAGTAGGAGCTGGACTAGTCCCATAGAGACTAAACCAGTTACAGGGGAAAAAGAAAAAAAAAAAAAAAAGCAACAATTTAGGATATGCAGGAAAAGGGTGAAAAAGTAAATGAGCAGCAGAAGCCCTTCCCCTTCTGATGACTCTTCAGTAATAGCTCTGCAGCTCACATACATCAATGCTTTGTAGTAATGTTGCATAAAACTATCTCATTATTTACATAATATTAAGTTAAATTAACAGGCAGGCCCCTAAGACACAAGTTAGGGACAGTTCTCTGAAAGAACCTGCACCATGGCTTTAACTGATCAAAAATGCCTATAATCTATCAAATATGCCTCTAATCATGTCTACATGGTCAAAAATGGTGACTGTGAGGGGAATAGAGTTTAAAAATTTATCACTTTTTCATGTGACTATTTTATTTATTGTTCTTGGGACACTTCTATGCCTCTCTCTTACTTTATCAATCAATATTCAAGTGAAATCAACAGTAAGTATAATCAGAAGTCACCTGGATAATGAACTGGAACCAAAGGAGCCTACATTACAGAACATAGGGCTGGTTCCTGGGTTGGAGCCAGTGTTTAAAATCAGGCTTCTATCAGGTGACCGGGCAGCTGCAGCAATTGGTTGTGATGTAGCTGTCAGGCTGGCAAAGGGGTTTTCATCTTTTGACTGGGTGGACATCATCAGAACTTCCATTAAAATCTGTCCAATCAAGTCCTTAAAATCGGAAAACACTGTTAAAAGTAAAAGAATGGAGTTAATATCCTCATATAACTGTTCATGTATAAATAAATTATAACACAATCATAGATTTCCCCTAAAAAAGACAGTTATCAGCTACCTTTGTGGATTAAGCACTACTTATAACAAGAGCAAAAAAATCTGAAACTTACTTGTAATTGTTCTGAAGTTACAGTTACACAAAAGGTAACTTTTATGGGAAGTACAAAAGATCATAAGCAACTTAATGTTGTTACTAATGATTCTTAACATTGTCTCATCTGCTACCGAGTTGAGCAACTCATATCCTAAGGAAGGAAAATAATTTTCCCTTTCCTTTTCCCCCTGCTCTCATATGCCCAAACACAAAAGAGCAATTTTCAAACTGGTCATATCTCCCAGCTGACAAATTATATATAATATATCTTGTTATATATAGTTAAAAAAAAAAAAAAAAAACACGGCACAGAAATTCTTGGCAACATGGCAGTATCAACATATTGATCTGATATCAGAACAAATCCATCAGCAGATGCACCTTCCTTCCAGTGTTGAAACACACCAGTTTTACTGAACAGAAGTAATCCCTAACAAATGATAACAGCTCAGATTCCTACCTTCCTTTGGGTTCTGCTTAAATTGAGCAGAAAGTGAAGTCAGGAAGATGACATCTCTATCTCGGTCCTTCCAAGAAACTCTGAAGATCTTACAGACCAGCTGAAGAGCTTGTTCCTCAGATACTTCAGACCCAGACAGAGGCTCCTTGTTTGGGGTAGAAAACAAAGTATTTGCATTAATTATGATTGTATCAGTCAGGTCACGATTTCATCAGATTCAGTTCTTTAAATAGCTTTAGGCTAACTCTGGATGGCAAAATTTGTGTACTAAGGAAGAAATACAAATATAGTCGCCAAACTTTTATTTGGGAAAAGGAAGAAAAGAGAGATTTTAAGAAAAATTCAGAAGTACGCTAATCCAGTAGTAAGCAACTTCCCAAAGTACATTATAAAACAGTATAAGAGGGAAATTTAACCCTTAAACCCTGTGCTGATTTCCTTAACAGGGAATTAAAAGGGGATTTAATTTTTTATGCACACATACGGTAATCTAACAGTTTCTTCTAAAAATTAAAGCACAAGAAGGGGTGAGCTTACAAGGATCCCCAGACTTTCTTCCCTTCAAATCTTTGTCCAAGGAATGGCATCTTTCACTTGGATGAAGTCAGGACAGGACAAAAGATTCAAGAATTTGCCTCATTCCCTTTTCTTCCATAAAATCATGTATATTGTGCTCAAAACTAAGTAAAAATATTTTCTATAAAAACAATGCTACCACAAGTAATGGCTAGCAAGGGTTAAATGGGAGGGCTCTTGCAATCCTAAGGCAGCTTTGAGGATGCACCTGGGAAAACGGCAAGATATAGAGAAATAAAATTCAAGTAATTTTCCCTGCAATATGAGGAAAGTTTGCATTTAAAAACATTTTCAAAGCATATGGGAACTCATTATTTTTTATTCACAAAACCATGACATGCAAGAATAAAACTCTCATTACACAAAAGAGCTGCACTAAAAGCACTTCAAAACTACTTGTTACATAAAAGCCAGTTTCAGCCTACAATAACTATAGTTGGAAAGTACAAGGGGAAAATTAAATTTCTTCACTCCAAAATCTACAAGGTAGTAGACCCAAGCATTTCGATTGGGTTGACTGGTGGCTGGACACTTACCCATTTCAACTCCCCCAGTTTCATTTCTTTCCTGCTTGGCTAACACTATGTATTTAAGAACAGCACTACCTTACTGATCTCAACAATAATAGTCACATGTATCCTGCAACACTGCACAGATCAGACCAAAGGTCACCTGTAGCATGGCACTTTGTCTGATGGGACCCATAGTAGATAATTAGAAAATAAATGTACAGATAGGAGAGATTTATCTCAACTTTTCTTCTGATGAGAAAGAAGTTCTCACTAACAGTAGCTGGAACCAGCATTAGAATCACTGAGGTTCATCTATGTTGAACATAAAACAGAAAATTCAACTGCATATAATTTTAAAAATGAAAAAAAAATAGTCTGGAGACTATTCTGCAAGAGTTGGAGATCTTTCCTAGGTGAAAAGTGTATCTGATACTTGATAAAGGTTTACTTTGTACTGCTGTATTATACTTCTTACAGTAGTAAATGTTCTTTCTTTAGAAGAACTGGTTGAATAGGGAAGAACAAAATGCATGTTGAAAAAATAAAGATACCATTTAAAAATAAAACTCCCTTTTTGTTTAGATCTGACATCACTAAGCGGCCACACTCATGCCACTAGATTCATCATGGATTTCCAGCAACGACCAGAACTGTATCCCTTTCAAACACTTTCCTCACAAACTATTAAACTGCAAATTATGGCACATCAATATATTTTTCCTTGACATAATCACTTACAACATACTTTTACTTCTCCTACCTATTTCTCTAGAAATGATTTTATTACTAGCACAATTTCAAAACAGATAAGCAGCCAAGAAAAAATCTTGCTTTTAAACGAGGACTACACTGTCTCCTTTCCACTTACTTACTAGGAGACATGGTAAAGGTAGAGGAATTGAGCCAACTCTGCACAGCTTTATTTTACTTTCCACTGGGCCCCCCATTCAAGATCGTCCTTGATTCCAAGCTATTTCTTTCACAGTAGCACAATGCAAGCTGTCTCACTGCCTGGTTTGCAGCTAGGAATCGACTGGAAAGGATTCTGCAGCAGGGTTATTGCTATATGGCTTTAAGCCAGGACCAAGTTTATTACTGACAGTGCAGGAATAAACAAAGGCATTTAATGAGCACTGCAAAAATTGTAGAAACCTCTCTTGACCACACTGATGTCCCACTTCTTTATTGCTTTATTTCACAAGGGCCTTAAAAATCAAGTGACAGAAGAAAATCTTAGAAGTGAATCGGAGCGTTCAGCTTGCTTTCCTTTTCTATTTTAAGAGATTTTAGCTCCTGTCTAAACATTGATGGCCAAAGAATATTCCAAGAAAATAAGCAAGAGTAAGAACACTATCTTACTATGAAGCATTACTTCAGCATAGGGAACACTTGATACAGCAGCTTGTTAGTAGATCTCCAGATGCCATATAAATAAGTTGGAACGTAATCTTCAATATGGTTATAAATTATTCCCCTTAAGAAGTATTTCTACAGACTTAATCCATATTAGAAAACAAAACAAAAAAATGGATTGGACAAGAAAAGGTCACTTTGTTTTAAGGCATATAATGAAAATATTTTCTTCAAAATTTGAAGGTATCAATAAATCTACTTCTAAGACTATTTAAACATAGCTTTAATACTCTTTCTTCCTCCCTCCCTCCCAAAAACTTGATGAGGAAATTTAGTCCTGAATTTGGTCATAGATAACATTTAAAAGCTAGTTCCATCCTCCCAAAAGCTCCTATTCAAAACACAGAGATACAGATATCTGAGATACAGATAACACTACAAGATACAATTCCTCATCACTCTTATGCACATCACATCATCCTAAATCCTTTGTTCCCGTTTCAATTCCATCACCAGGGACAGCTACCCACAGTCCTGACAAAGTTTCTCCAAAAAAATATAGCCCTTTTTGAGACGAGAGAACACACGGCAAAACCCAGGAAAATTACAGACTGCAAAGCTGGCAGCTGTACAAGGCTATGTCAGCGAAAGAAAACACAGTAACATAAGCAAAGGCAAAACTTACTGAGTCCGAGGTGAAGCTTTCAGAAATCAAACCCAACTTTTATAAAACAGAAATGTACCTTCATGCTAAACTGCATAATCTGAGCAGTTTTTCCCATGACATCCAAGAGCTCAAGGTAAGAATAGCGCCCTGTAGAGCCTGGAAGAAAACCACCAACATAGAATGGACTAACCTTATCCGACAGGCTCCTTTTCTCTCTGCGATCATTTTCATCGACCTCCATATTTTCAATTCCTGAATCCACATCTACCTGGGACATACTGTAAGCAGAAATAAAAAAGAGAGCCCATAAAACCTCCAAGAAAGCACCTCTGCAAGACACTGACTGAAGGAATGTCACCTTAGGTAAAAGCAGCAAAGAAACAATGCAAATGGAATAGCCATATCCACAATAGCAATTAACAGTCACTAGCTACTAAAGGCTTCTCATACTACATTTATTTTGAAGAGACAAAAATATTAAATTTCTTCAGCAGGCAATATGAAACACAAAGCTATCACATCCTGCAATCTTTTCTTTTTTTTTTAAAAAGAGTAGCTGAATTGATCCCACTAGACATGCACATCCCTTAATATCTAAGATGTTGTTCCATCTTTTTAAATGTTAAAATAGGAATACCCATTAAAATCAGACAGAGAAGCATTACAATGGTTTAAACACTGTGTATTTTTAAACGTTTAAACCTATTGTATTATCATGGTTGGAAGTTAAAAATAACAGAATATTTTTCTCTGCAAGTGGTTTTTATTATTGCATGGTGCAATATTTGTCAGCTCGTCCAAGCTGCATGTTTTACCTTTTCTCACAGGAGACACTATCAATATCCATGCTCTGAGACCGAGAGAGAGACTGAGATTGTGTTTCAAGGCTGTTAGATGGAGAACTGCTGAGTGAACTCACTCCTTCGCTGCTCTGGCTTCGGTGGGCTACTCCTAAAGAAAAGGCACCACCAAGATTACAACAGAGTTTGGAAGGCATACACAGTTATAGGGATGAAAAAGGAGAGGAAATGCCATTCTGGATACTATTTGTCAATTCATTTCTTGAGCATTTTCAGTGCTTCAATGCCTTTGGAAATAAAAGTTAATAATATCCACTGACTATGGAATCCCCTTCTCCACCTCCCCTTCCCAGGCCGCAGCAGCGCTATGTGAATACTTACCTGCATTACAACACAGAGGAACACAATTGAATTTGCAGCCATATAGTGCTCAGAGACTCGCTCTCAAAATAAAAAGCACTGGAAAACTCTTGTTTTTAAAATCTACATATGATCTAAGTACATGAATGACGTCAGGCGTTAATAAAACTTATTTACCTATAGCAAGTTACATTGACAGGTATTTTTTGCAGTACTCAAAAGAAAGCTGTAGGGAAGAGAAAGGGACACCATGTCCTTTTACTCACAATGTTCCCTACTTTTGCCAACCTCATCAGGTGAGAAATGCACAAAAAATTCATATACTAAAAGCAAAACCCACTGAAAACATCAAGGTGACCACTGGAAGAGCAAGTCAATTCGCAGCAAGATTTTGAAACACAGATCAATTAAGAGATAATAAAAACTAAAACCCAAACTCTAGTTTAAATAATGAGTCACTTAATGTCACAGAAGAGCAAGTCACCACCAAATTCAAACTCCAAAAAAGTTTAAGAATGTTACAAACATGTAGCTTCAAGTGGCTCTGTATAAAGAAATAAGACATATAGGCACCCCTCTCCCAACAGCCTGCATCATGAACAGATAATACGGAAATTCATTTTTTACTTTATGACTGAATTGACAAAACGTCATTCCCATCTCCTGTATCTCATATCTGAGAGGCTGCTAGTGGCTCTCCAGGCTGCTCGCGGGGCACCCCAAGGCCACATTCAAAAGCCATGGGAAGCAGTTTCTCTTCCTCTTGTACAGGCAGGTAAAATAGCTAAGCTTGGTAGCAAATTGCTGCTACCTTAAGACATTGCCAAGACTCCTCAGTGCTACCTGGATATGACTTCATATTGTGTGTGAGTTAGCCCTGGTGAGGCTATTAGGTTAACATAACAAGAGTTTTCATATTTTGTCCCCCACCAGACAAATCCTCCAACAAGGTACCAAGGAAGGTACGAAGTACTGCACAAAAACAGCAAAAACATCCAGGAGGCCCTAACAGCACACAGTACCAAGTACACACAGAGCAAATGGAAAGAGCAGTATAAAATACGGCTTTGGAGGGTAGCTGAAAAGCTTCAGGATATGAACAGATGGATTCACTTAGCATGAAGACTTATTCAGAGAAGCATTACATACTGGCATGGTAGGATGCAAACTATCTGTATAATTCCAAATAATGCAGAAACAGTCTTGCATTCAACAGCAATCGAAGCTCAATGAATTCTACTGGCATTTGTAAGGAGATCTCTCAAGTCTGTTCCTAAAATTTGTGCCTAGTAACACTGGCTTAAGTTATGATTAATAAGAAAACAGCATTAATTGACATTGCAAGCTGCAGCTATAATGTTAGATATCTGCATGCCAAAAAGAGACTCTTTAGAGGAGATTTTACAGGGGAAAAAAAAAAAAAAAGAGAGAGAGAGATTCATTGCTGCTTTCATTCTAAACAGGCAGTATAGTGAGTTCACTCCCCTGGGTTCTTCTGCCTGCTGTTTACAAGGCATTCCCCAAAGAGTATTAGCTTACAAGTCAAAAGTGTAAAACTAGATGGACTCATTTTTAAATTCCACGGCTAGCTGTGTTTCAGTGTCACCACTTAAAAGTGCAACTTGTCCCGTATTTGTGGCAGTTTTCCATTCTGAAATTAACAGTAGTGAAAGCAAAATGGAACAGATCGGGATTATGCTCTTCGACACAGCTGTTAGAAATGCTTGGAGAAGAATGCACTAAAACAAGTCTTGAAATAAAATTCATTTCACTGAATCATAGAATGGTTGAGGTTGGAAGGGATCTCTGGAGATCATCCTAGCCCAATCCCCCTGCTCAGGAAGGGTCACCTAGAGCACATTGCACAGATTTGCATCCAGGTGGGTTTTGTTCATCTCCAAAGAAGACTTCTCAACCTCCCTGGGCAGCTCTCCAATACATTTTCATGGTGCACACAAAATAATTATCACATTTTCCACAAAATGGATGCATAAGTTTGATCTCACTGTGACATGCAACTTCTTACAAAAAGGGATGCTTACAAGGACATTATTCTGCTGAAGCTGTTCTCTGCATGTCCAAGCAAATTAAAATCCTCTGCAGTCATTTTAGTCTACCTCTGCAAAGGAGCTCCTGCAAACTGCAGAGCACTAGCCAAGGCTTCACCGATGCTAAATAAATACAGCAGGTAATCATTTGTGAATGCTTTTTCTTGATCTAGTCTCTCATTTAACCATATCCCTTTTTTTGCTGTGAAAAAAACATGCATTATTAAACTGCTGCAATGACTGGCACTGCAGGAAGCACACGCTACACCGTGACTAGGTACCTTCTGGTTCTGGCCATCAAACAATCTAGTCTGTTTAATTAGGCATTATCTAGCACGGATGGATGAATTCGTAACAGAGAAGCCTGTAGCGGCTTCTCTGTATCACCACTTTAAAAGGTTACCTTTAAAAGGCAACAATTCAGATGCAATACATGAACATTTCTACCTTTGGGTACATATTTCCATTCCTCATATATTTGCATTAGTGTTTTTACAGTTGCGTAGTCAAACGGATCAGTAGCTCGTATTTTAGAAACTAAACATTTCTTTTTCCTGGATTAGTTTTCCCCTGGATCGAGTCCATGATCTACCTCACCACACAGCTGCTACTGACAGCAGAAAGCGAGGCAGCAAGAATCACCTCTTTCAGCCAGAGCCAGTCTTAAGGTGAATTAAAATAGCCATGCAACCACGGGCTCAGCCATGCAACCACGGGCTGAGTGAGCTGGCCTAAAAAGTCACCTTTGCTTCTGGGTGGCTGTCTATTATCATGAGGACAATACGCAGCGTTATATTCCAACTACAATGAGCTTTTCCCAGTAAAGGCTCTTGATAATTTTTCTTTGTCCTGGCCTGGCCACTGAGCAATAAGATAAACAGGAAGTGGCCAACTCTACATATTGCAGAAGAGCACTGTAAATCATAAAAATAAGAGATATCTAGCCTTCTGGTAGCTTGTAAACTCATGTATTTGATAAAGGCAAAGAAAATTTCAGGAAGCCAGTAAGTAAATAGATCAGAAGTAATATATGCTTATCAAGCAGCATCAGAAAACTATTATCAACATCAACAGAAATCATACAGAAAACTTTGTTTTAAACATTCTTAACATATCCCCTACAAGATTGGTTTTGTGAAGTTCAGTTAATTTAACAACATAAAGACTGCAATGCTATTGAAGAGTGCAGATAAAGATCACAATACTGGAGAAAGAAGTCAGCCTGTTTTGATTTTCAAGATATTCAAGTTTAAAAACAACTTTTAGGTCAACAGGAGTATTATATATGAAAATATTAGCATTTCTTCACCTCTCAAAATAGCAGCCCTCTCAACTTTCCATGTTTTCTGTGTTTGTATAATTATAGTAGATCAGACATTACCCTTATCTTCTGACCAGCTACAGCTCAAATCTCCTCCTTGTATTCATAAAAAATGGATCTAGTAATACTTTTATTTTTCCAAAAACACTGCAGAGTTACACAAAAAAGAAAGTAAGTTCTGTGTTCATATGTGGACAATGCACAGTCACAGTTCACACTATTTTTAATTGTACCATGACCTAGCAATTAAAGATCAAAAATGAACTTGGGACAGATTGCTAAAACGTACCTAGAAACAAATCAATAAAAGCCTGTGTTGCAAGACTGAATATTTTTTTCTACCTCCTGGATAGGATACTCTGAAAGGAAAGCTAATCTAGAACTACTACAGACAGCCAATCTAAAAGTGCTACAGACTTCAACTAATCTTTGGTAACTTGTACTTTAGAGTACCATAATTTCATTTGCAGATACCTAGAAAATAATCATATCTAACCATTTAGGGATTGCAAAATGAAAACTAAAGTACATTCATTGACCGTTTTAAACTATTTCTTTCACACATTACTTTCAGTAACAAGTGAAATAACACAAACAATAGTATTCTTGCGGAGACAAAAGGAGTCACATCATGAGCCGCATCATACAGACACACACAAATATTTTTTGCCACTCTAAGGCCAACGTACCCGATGCACCGATTGGAGAGGTAGCTGGGGTCATGCTGTGGACATTTAGGCCCAGGCTGTGGGATGGCCCCGGGGCTGGTGCTACTCCAGGTGGTCCTGGCGGGGTCTCGCGCTGCGGTGACGTGAGCGGCGTCGTGGGCTGGGAGGACGGCCCGCCGGCCAAGCGAGCGAGGCGCCGCCGACGAATCTGCGCCAGGGAAACCCAGTGAGAGCAGGTACACGTATGCACAGCTACACACACATGTACACACACACATTATGGTCACATTGGTCCTTTTAGGCAACATGCCTATCCACTCCACACACAGACACTTTCCATAGTAACCTGCTTGCTACAGCTGATCCTTAAGCACATTTCTGTGCTCTGTGTGACAATGTTAAAGCACCTGATATTTGTATCTGAAGCATATATTTGCTGCCTTGGAAGCCCATTTCCACTGGAGAATTCTGTTTGTCCCTTAAAAGGTTGTAGAAGACAAATTTCAGCAGTTTCAGCAGTTTCAAAACCGGTAACACTCCTCTTCACTTATTTTGGCATTTCATGAAATAAACTGCATTAATCTGATAAAGGGACAATATGAACACAACTTTTGACTTCATTTCACACCACATAATATTCCTAAGAGCATCTATGCTAAAGATCCAGCAGAATATTATTTCAAAAGACTATCAGCCAATTTGATCCAAAACAGATGTGCAACTCTAAAACCTCTCAAGTTATCTGCTAGACAGGGGCATTAGGGTGTTGGACAGGAAATTAATCACAGACAGTTAATAACATCCTCTCAGCACCTAGAGACACTGCACCAAACAGAATTTAAAGATCAGTTTTTGCGAGTTACCAGCAACAAGGTAGAGAATCACCTGCTTTCAAGATCTGACTTCACAACACTATTCTGAACCCATTTATTAAACTTCACAAAAGAGCATCGTATCTGAAGGGGGTTCACCATAATCCACAAAACCACCTAGCTGCATTTGTAATCTAATTGGGGGTGGAATTAAGCTTTTTAAGAGCCGCTTCTTTAGCATTCAATTAATCCACAGCCATGTTTTTCAGATAAATAAGTGGCAGGCAAAAATGAGAAGTCAAACAGAAACAACCCTTCCAATAGGCAGAAACAGCTAGAAGAAAAAAAAATCTTTAGTAAGGTGTGAAAGTTTTGCACAAACATTCATGTTTATTTTTGCTAAGTATGTCCTTCCTAACTTCAGACTGGGAACTATGTGAGGAGAAAGATGCAGACATACATACTCAAATATTAGTGTTAATCAACATATTTATCAATGTATTCTCAAACATAGTGATAGCCTGATTACTCAAAACGAGGTCATATCCTTCAGAGTCTGTGATTTGCATCAAGACCCTCTTCATCATCTTCCAGTTTCAAGCAGATAATCAAGATCTTTTGTGCCACTTAACACCCTTCCCCTTAAAGGGCTAGACTACATCAGTGCAGAAGTTACATCAAAAGCAGCTGCAATCACTGCTGTTGAACCAGGAGGATGCTAAGTTGAACTTTCTGGCTTGTATTTGTCACTTTCTTGGTCCGCTGACCATTTATCTTGCTAAGAATCAACATTCAGATTGTAACCTACCTTGAAAAAGTGTCTGAAAAGGGGATCCAGCAAATCAGCTTGCACAGATGCACAGCTTTTACTGAGCTGCTTTTAGATAGGACACTGCAATTTAAACCACTGCAAGATCTCTCCCTACACTTTGAAGGACGATAGGCAAATTAGACATGTCTTTACACTCTAAAACAAATTACCAAAAATATAAACAAACTCTGATAATGTTTGCTCTGAAAGAGACAGCTTTCATAACAGAGTGTCCATTTAGTCCTTCTTAGAGGACTAGATTTGGATACCCTGACTCACATTCCTTTAGGTTCACCTAAACTTACCATGGAAACAGGAAATTTGATCCAGAGTCTTCTAAGTAGTTTTAACTAGGTAAGACACAAAAGGTGGAGAAACAGAAAGATACTACACTATAGAAAGTAGAGGAGTAAGCTGGAACAGAAGTCTGACGCTAGACCATAAAACTGAACACATCTTCTGCCAAGTTCATTCACTAGTGTCTGAGACCAAATAGCATCAAGGTGAGAGGAGTAAGAGTCGCCTTACACTCAGGGGACAACGTGGGGACTCTGGAGACAGGAATTCAAACTGCAGGAATTCAAAGTGACCTGCTTTCACTTGCGACTAAATTACTACCCACATCAGCAAGAACAAGCAGGCAGCTTGTCTTTTAATATTTTGTTAAGAACTTGAGGATACCTTGGTAATAACCAACCCCTGATTTCAGGAATAGCTAGTTGCAATAATGACATATGACAAGCTGTTACGTGTCTTACATAATGACAACAAGTTACTTAGTGATAATTACAAAGGGTCTGGAACAAACAATGCTTATCCTCCCTACAACAGAGAACTCTATATTATACAGTTTAAATCATTAATGAAAAAACGCAGCGGTTGAATGGAAGAGGCAGGCTGCTTATTAGTACAGTTTTCTTTGGACACATGTGAACTGTGCCAGGAAGAGTAACTTTCAGCCAAACAGTTTTTGAGTTACTGGACTTCTTAAAAGCCATCAAGCTAGACATACTACAACACCCAACACAAAAGCAGCACCCCTGTTTAAAGCAGCCAGATCATTTTACTTACACAGCAGGCTAATAAAGCTAAAACCAGGAAGATGAGTCTCCCAAGGCTTTTTCTGACCTGGTTCTGATTCACCTCTCATTCTTCTGCTTGTTTTTTTTTTTTCTCTCCTGCTTCACGTTTTCCTTATATTTATATGAAGTTTTTAAAAGGGAAGATTTCACAGAGTCTCATATTGTTCTCAAGGTGCTCCCAGGGTGTTCTCATCCCAACTATTGCAGCAGCTCTTTAGCATCACCACAAAGAACAGTGCATATTTTGGACAGACATTTGACTGAGCAGATGTCAGCTCCTATCCCAAAAAGCACAATCACAGAAGGCCTTTGATTTTAAAAGGTGTATTCCCAGGCCCAGAAATATTTCCACTTTAGTTGACGGGTATTTTCCTTTCAGCCTCTACCAAATAAAAAGCTTTTCCAGACAGAAAAACTGATTTTAGAAGGTTGTTTTTCTGTACAGTTCATCTTTAATCCCAGGATCCTCTGCCCCAACTACCAGTGGAGATATGGAAGTACATTAGAATAAACTTTGTCTTTTTTCTTTTACAATGAGAGGCCCATCAGCATAAAAATAAGTGACAGCATAACTCTCTCAAACTGACACAAGACTATGTTTGTCTCAAGAAGTCACCTAAAGAACCAAACAGCTTTGGTCCTAGCTAAACTGTAGCAAAAAGACTCGGGAAAACTTCAGGTCAATCACAACAAACGTTTTGCCAGGAAAGGTAGACGAGTCCCTGCTGGAGAGCTCCTTTTCTGCAACCTCAGTTCCATGATGCAGCGTTTTTGATGAGGTCACTAATTTACATGAGCAGTGACACAAACAAGCTCACATAGGTCAAATATTTCTGAAGCATATAACAAAACACCTCATTATCAGATGCAACTAAAAGGAATGATCAGAGTAATTACTAAACACAATACTCCTAAAATATGGCTATTAGAGATGCTTTTGCACAGCTGGAACTATAACATCAGCAACTTCCCCCACTGCCCTCAACACATGGGAGTTTTGCCCCTTTTCTCAATGCTTCCATAGTATACAAAGACCCCTGTAAAATAAATACCGTGAAGATTTTCCTCCTGTTTTGGGCTGCAGCAGGGCAGGATTGCTAAATCAAGACATACAAAGTAATCAAAAACATTTCAGAACACAAACATGAGTGACAAGAGCAGCCGCCTTGCCCTACACCCCAGCTATAGGATACGGGGGGTAAGAGAAGTTGCTGCTTTCAGCCATCCCCGAGCTTGTGCTGCAGCTGCTCTGATAATCATACATTACATACAATACACTTTGGTATGCAAAAGTGCTCAGAGCAGGCAGAGAAGCATCTAAAGTTGCACCAAAGTTAGATGTTACACTGGGAGAGTGGGTAACTCCCCGTATCCTGGTGAGGACCTTGGTGGGAGCAAGACGCCTGCTCCCCACAGAGAAGCAAAGTACACGGCCTCAGCCCAAGACGAGCAGAAAAATCACCCTTCCGAGGGAAGGAGCAGCCTGCGCCACCCAGGTGATTACAAGTCACCTGTGAACTTGAAACGAAAAAAATATTATAAAGAACCCATCAAAGCAAGGGAGGACAGCAGGAAAGCCCCTTCCCCAGCCTCTCAAAAGGGACGTTAAATGCAGGGCTCTGCACACAGCTCAGCCCCCGAGGCATGGAGTGTCCCCCCGGCCCGGGGACGGGGCTCGCTCAGCCGCCTGGCAAAGCCGGGGAACGGGAAGAGGGGTCGGGGCTTTGAGCCGGGGCCTCCGGGAGAAGTTTGGGCCGGGGGCCCACGGGGCGACGCGGGGGCGGGAAGGCCGCGGCCTCCGGGGCGCTCACCTCATCCGCGCTCAGCTCCTCCATCGCCGTCCTCTTAATGGTGACCGGGGGAGGGAGTCCCGC